ACCCTAAACCTAACCCTAACTGCTACCCTAAACCTAACCCTAAATCTAACCCTAAACCTTACCTTAAGTTAAATCACGCCGCGGTGTTGTCGGCGCGCTTTAGTCTACCGCGGTTATGTCGTGCCACAATTCGGAACACCTCAAACAATTTCAACTAAACATGGTACACAGATGACACTCTATGGAAAAACAATACTGTGGGTGTAAGAAATCCCTAACAACCCTTGGGGTGTGTGTTACAGCCTGTTGTGCCTTAAAATGGCTTCTACTGTACTGTCTTAAAATGGTTTCTACTGTACAGCGCAGTGGAGTTGCCATGGTAACGGCTTCACAGTACTCCACAAGGGGGCTCTCCCTGGTAAGAGAGAAAATCCAACATTAGAAATTATGTTTGGTCCCAACATTTTCAACAAGGCTTTCATTATTATTGAGGACAAATGTATGGCCATGACCAATAAAACATTACTGCAACTCGGCCTGCCAGCACCACTACAAAACCGACAAGATGTACTTCACACAGATTATATATGAGAAAAGAACTACGATGTCGAACAGCTTAGTGCAGATATCATGGACAAGAACCACTTCTAAGTCAAGATCAGAAAAAAGCATAGCATATGATTTTGGATCAGCTAGCAAAAGAACACGATGGTATCATTTTTCTTGACACTTCTGGGGGCACAGGGAAAACATTTTTAACTAATTTAATTCTGAGCAAAATTGGGTTCAGGGGAAGTTGCTCTTATCACCTCTTTAGGAATTGTGGCGACGTTAATGGAAGGAGGGAGGACATTGTAAATAAAATCAACATTTAAAAAAAGAATTCAGGGTCCTTTAAACCAAACTCAAGTGAAAGGCACTAGGTTAGAGAAGATTGTCCTAACCCCTAATTCACACACATTCCTCAAAGTCTATTAATTCACAACTAAAATCCAATATTTTTTCCCAGAAAAATATATACAGCTCAAATGATTAATCATTTGGGGTTTAATTTCATCAGAAAGTATACCTGACATCCAGCTCTGAAGTTTTCTGGTGAGATCCAATCTTCAAGCATTCTGAGAATTGATGCTCCCTAGATAGACAGAGATTTGATAATATTGATAAATAGTATTTCATATACCAATTTGTATTCATGGTATTCAAAAAGTAAACAAACTGTTCCAGCTTGCCTTAATAAGACACACTGATAATGTATACTCTCCTTATTTCTGTGCAATCCAGAAATACAAGCATAGTATGAGTTATTCTTTATATTGTAGTAAACTCCTTATAACCGAGAATTAGCAAAACTAATAAACAATGCCTACCCATTTTATCTTTACATAAGCAGATATCATATAAAACCCAGATACCCATTTTATCTTTACATAAGCAGATATCATATAAAACTATTCAGTCCCAAATTACTGAACTCAAGCCCTTGTTGGATTTTTGTGGCTTCATATTAATTTTTAAAAAAAAACATTTTGGGGAATATTGATAAAAACCAACATATCTAAAAATTCTGGTCTGTTGAAGTTTCTAGTTTCCAGACTTCACTACATAAATGCTGGTAAAAGGCAGCACATACACACATAGCGTTGTTCAGAAACATTTCCCACAGTTACTTGTGCATATTAATACTGTGATGAAGATCACGTCAACTTGGACTTCAGTTCCAAGGATAACACTTTAATACAAATCTCACTGATGGACAGAATTATTATAACCAAGTGAGCATATGTCTGTGGACAGATTAATGACTTGTCTTTCATTGGTACAATAACCTTTCAAACCATACACAAGTTCCCTGACTTTCAACGTTTCAATTAAATCTCAGATAAGGTTAGGAACATACTTCTATGGAACTTTAGAAGTTTGGGAAATGGAGATAGTCAAGGGAAATTCAGGATCACAGAAGGAACAGAAAATAACAGAAGTATCCTTCTTGATACCTCACAACCACAAAAAGAAACTAGACACTCCTATCTCTTTCTAACTAAACACTCCTACTTCTTTCCTAATACCTATCTCTTTCCACTTATGACTATAACCATGTTGCTTGTATCTTTAAAATTTATATTGTTTTATGTGTTTCCTTGCATAATTTGGCTCCTTATTAGTAACCTATGATTCTTACTAAGTGTTGCATCTTATGATTCTTGATGAATGTATTCTGTTTTATTTTTCTTTATGTATACTGAGAGTATATGCGCCAAAGATGAATTCCTTGTGTTTCCAATCACACTTGGCCAATAAAGAATTCAATTCAATTCAATTCTGTTCTGTTCTAAAGAACAAGAGGGACAGAAAGGTGCAGAAAACAGAAACAGGAAAAAAACATCTGGAAAATTGAAGATTTATCAGCACCAAATGAAGATATCATCTGACAAATATGAGCCATTTGGCATGCCCATTCATGTCATTTGTGCCAACTTACATATTTCTTACGGTTAGTGGCTTTGTTTCCCCATTCCCATTCCAACTTGAAGCAATCCCGTGAGAAAAGTGTCAGAGTTCAGTAGCAAATATATGCTTTGCATACTGATGGTTCCAAGTTCAATCACTGGCATTGCTAAGTTGGAGAGTCTGGAGATCTGTTCATAATCAACCTAGACAACATTGACAGAAGTAGAGTAACACTCTTAATTTGATATAAGACATCTTCCTCATTTATAAACAGATTGCAAGCAAACTTTGTTTGCCCCAATTCAATCCAGACATGTGATTTCAGCCTTGGTCCAGCAAACATACTTGGTGATTCATGCCTGGTCATGAGTAAATCTTATATGATTTGGACCACAACAGTATCCTTGTGCAAGCAAAAGTGAAGGTTGTATCACATATATTTCATACCTGAGAATCCCATTATCAGTTGTAAATTTCAGACTATTTCTTTTCTTTTCATACCTTGACTATGAAAGTCCTAAATACACATTCAAGAGGCTGACTATAAAACTGAACATCCATTTAAATAGCCGCTTTCTCTGAATTATAGAAGCCAGCAGTGATCGGAACACATGGCTATTGCAAAAAGGCAAGGCCATTTTCATCTAAGTATCATTCATTATCGATACAATGTAGAGCAGGGGTGTCAAACTCGCATTGTTACAGCATCGTTATGTGACATATCATGACTTTTTCCCCTTTGCTAAACCGGACCCATGGGTGTGGCCAGCGTGTGACACGTCTGGGCCGCGAGTTTGACAGCCCTGCTATAGAGAGACCCAGAGAGTACACTATAAAAAATATCAACAGGTAGGAACAATATACACAAGTCATTACCAGGACAAAGATAATGATTAATTTACCTAACCTTTGCCATTTCCTGTGTGTCTTCACTTCATATAATTTATATTGACTTGGGCAGCTATACTCTTGCAAACCACTAAGTGGTGAAAATTACAGTGTAGTGTATCACGATTATCTAATTATCGACCCAAACACTCTCTATATAGTTACAATGGGGCTGAAAAAAGTGAGTTACAATTCAAGTGAGTACTTGAATTTACAATTGTCACGGTATCCACATGGTCATGTGATCAAAATTTGGGCCTTGGCACCCAGAAATTTTGGTCCCAATTGGTTGGGTTGCAAGTTGTGGACTACTTGCTGTATTCTGTTCTCTGCTATTCAAGGAAACCAAGTTCTCTATCTTTCCTGCCTCTGAACTGTAACACCATAAAGTGCAGATATACTGTACACATATAACAGAAGTGTAAAATATACATATCCCACAACATTCATCTCATGTTTTTTTTCCCCAAGATCAAAAAAAAAAAGCTCAAACACTAAATATGTTTATCTTCTTTTGTCCCAGTTATGTGGGGAAACTTAAGCTCTTACTTTGCTATAGGATATGCCATCAAACACAGAAGTTATTTCATCAGGAGAAGACACATTCACGGTAATAGGATGAGATGAAACCAAAGAATCATCCTTCAGCACTGGGAGTAGGTCATCAATTAAAATTTGGTCCAGCTGTGGAGAAAAAAAGAGTTGATGGGAAAAGTTATTATTCCCCAAAATGATTTACTTAATTAGCTAAAAGCAGGCTAATGCATGATAAACAATGAGCATAACTAAAATCATGCCACATGTCAATCTCACCTATCATGGGATAAAAGGAGTTTTGGACTGATAGCTAACTATCAGCATAGAGAGCAAAGAAATAGTCAAAAAGAGATAGTGTGGCTCACTTTCTTGATTCTCTAGAATTTTACCTAAAGATTATATAAATATATCTATCATATGTATCATCATTACATATTATAAAATAGCTAATATTTGGTCAAGATGTTTTCTACCATCAAGTTTGATAACTCAAGGAGGAAAATTTATAGATTGAAGCTTCTAAATCAGGGGCATTCAACCTTAGCCATTTTAAGTCTTGCAGACTTCAACTCCCAGAATTCACCAGCTCGAAAGGCTGGCCAGGGAATTCTGGAAGTTGAAGTCCACAAGCCTTAATATTGCCAAAGTTGGATACCTCAGTTATAAATTTCATATGTCAGAGCTAAGTAACTTAATTAAAGCTATCCCACTAAAAATAAAAATACCTCAATGAAGCTGAATTCCTGTTTTATTTTTAAAAAAATTCACTTTATTTGGCAGCAATTCAACAGTATTTTTCCCCAGGATGTTTCATTTAGCCTACAGCCCTGAGATCCTGAATATTTCTCAATCACTAACCAAACCTTATGTTGTCTTGCTTTTGAACTCAAATAACTCAAATAAGGTCAGCTAATAGCTATCGCCTGTTGAGCAGCCATACTTAATGTTTNCATACCTACACCTACGAATAAACACACACACACACAAACCTCAAAATGTTTTTTTTTTTTAGATAAAGATGAACAGGGACCTCAGGGTGGAAACATGGCAGACTATCACATGTCTATGAACAGTGGGGATAATGCAGAGACAGAGACTGACAGCTGGATAAAATACCTGAGCTACTGAACCATATTTTTGAAAGTAAAAGACGCACCGGAGTATAAGACGCAGCAAGGTTTTGAAGAGGAAAATTTAAAAAAAAGGTTTTGCACTCTGCAAACCTCCCCAAAATGGCCCATTTTTCGCAAAAATGGGCCCGTTTCCCCCGCCCCACAAAAAGAGCATGAACAGCCCTTAGGAGGGTTGTAGAGTGCTCTTGGGGGGTGGTGTCAAAAACGAGCAAAAAATAGCCCGTTTTTTGTGAAAACGGGCCCATTTTTTGTCAAAAAAAGGGCATGCATAGCCTTTTGGAAGCTTATAGAGTGCTGTTGAATGCTGCTGGGGGGGGGATGGACTGTTTCCCCTCATTTCTCCCCTCTTCAGCCCCCAGGAGCTCTCTGAAAGCCTCCATAAGAGTATGCACGGCCATTTTGGTGAAGGGGTGGAGTTTTGGGCAGCAAAAAATGCTGTATTCAGTGTATAAGACGCACCCAGATTTTCAGCCTCTTTTTTGAGGGAAAAAGGTCCATTCTATACTCCGAAAAAAATATATACTCCGGTAGTTTCTTTAGAAAAAGAAAACTCATGAGATTGCCCACATGTGTTCTGGGAAGGGGGCAGGTCTTCAGGAGGAAGTCCACAGAATACAGAGGGACCCTGAGTGCAGGGGTGGAATTAAGCCAGTTTGGATTGGTTTGGCAAACTGGAAACTTTACATCTGATTTGCTGAACTGGTAGTTGCAAAGACTGGTTGACCCCACCCACCCTTCCCCTTCCAGAAATCTCCACAAGGCCTGATTTGAATGCCAGGTAAATGTAGGGCCCGCATGGAGGGTCTGGGAGGGCGAAAAACAGGTCACCTGGAAGTTCTGGAAGTCCAGCCTCCAGAGTCTCTCCCTGAGGCTCGAGGAAAACCTCTGGAGCCTGGGAAGGATGAAAACGCACCCCCCCCCCCGCTATGGTGCAGGAGGCTGAGTAGGCCACACCCACCATGGCCACTCCTACCTAGCAACCAGGCAAAGAACCATTTGCAAAAAAAAAATTGAATCTCACTCATCTGCCTGAGGGTGACCTGTGAATAGAGTACCAGGAGCCACAGAAGAAGACACCATTTTCACAGCCGTGCAGGAAGTACGTTAAAATGGCATTGGGTCTGCCTGATCCAATTCCTAAAGCATGTTTAAATGGAACATATTTAAAGTGTAACAAGCATCCAAAAGTTATCTGAGTTAATGTATTTTCAATCTAGGACAGATTAAATAAAAAGAAGGAAGCAATTACAAAGATTTAAAAAGAATTGAATGCAAAAAGCTTACTGAGTTTTTAGAATAAGAAAGTTAAACAATGGACTAAAGTTTGGAATATCACCTCATGTAAAGTATTTAAAAGACATATTTGAATTAAATAATCATTTATGTCCATAGGAAAGAAGAACATTTCAA